TGTTTGGACTTGGTCTGCAAATAGTCGTAGTCCGGAGTCCTGACTGCTTGTAAATAGCTGGCGCTGGCAACAACATCACATGTTTAAACTTACAGCGTCAGCGTGCTTATTTGATATTGAAGCTGCCTTGCCACACTCTGAGGTCCTTGTTTCAACATCCTTCTTATAGTCTTCCCTCTCGTTGTCGAAGAACTTCTGCAAGACCTTGCCAAAGGACTCAATCTTCTCCTCTGAGATGCTTGTCTTGAAGTCGTCGGTGGCTCGGAACTTCTTGTTGAACTCCTTGACTCGGCAAAATTGCGATGCAAGTCAACGAACTCGGAGTACGACAGCGGGAATGACGGCTTAAGAATATCAAAACATGTATCAAAACACTCACTCACTGACTCATGCGGAATCATACCTTTTGCAATCTTTTGCATGTCTATGAGTTCGTTGCTCTGTTTGTCTGTGCCAAGGCTCGTTCTGGGCCTGTTTGAGCAAAAGCGCCTGATCATCCTTGCTCAAGGTGTCCTTCCAGGCATAGAAGTCATCTTTGAAGCCTCGCATGGCCATCTTGCTGCCAGCCCTAGGGGTGGCCGAGTTCACGAAGCCGCTTTGGGTCGACATGCTCAGCATCCAGGCGCCAAGCGCTAAAAGCACCACAGGGAGGAGGCTCATGGAGGAGCGGGCCATGGCGGTGTGGAAGGCAGAAACTGGCACCGTCCGTCAAAGCTGAGCTGCGAAGATGGTGTTCGTGTCCAGCGCGGATGTGCCGCTCCAACAAACAAAGCTCGATTTGCCAGGGCTATATACTGGGATTCTCTCCTGGCTAGTTAGTGATCCAAGTCACTTCAGCTTTCAACTTTTAACTAGTGACCAAAGCAATGAAAATATGAAACAATGACGTTTCCTAAGCCCCTAAGCCCATGGCACACCCTCATTGGCATCTCTCTCGGTTTCCCCCACTTGAGTAGCGGCGCCAAGGCATCCGCCAGGGGCTCCGCTGCGACCTGTCCAACACTGCTGCTGCGTGTGGTTACTGCTGCAACGGATCGTTGAAGGGATGTCAAGCATGACTTGTGCTTGAGCCCAAAGCATGGCATGCAAAAAGCCTGCATGGATGAGTCTGCTTTGTTACACATTCCTGAGGCACAAGCTCGCCAGTTCAACGGCAATGATAACAGTTCTGGCAGCATATCTAACCTGAGCTTCCAATTCAAGAAGATCTTCGTCATCATTGCACAGGTGAAGCAAAAATAGCCGTGGGATGCCTGAAATATGTGCCAGTCTGTGCCCTCCCTGGCTGAAACTATAGTAGCTATATGATGTTATATGTTTAATTTCTTAAGAACATTAAGGCCCACGCGACACCTCTTCAGGTGCATGTCGCACTCCTTGGATTCGTGAAGCTGAGCTCAGCTAATGGCTCATTGTTCGATTCACCAGTTACTAAGACTATCGCGAATGTGAAAGGCTCAAACAGGTGGGAAGTAGCTCAGACAGGTGGGCGGATGGAAAAACATGTGCCGAGATGCACCAAAAATGCAACAAAAGAAACCAAAAAAAGGCTGAGTGGGGTGTAGCAGTGTGGCAATGACAGTAGGAACAAATAGCGAAGCTGAAGTGAGAAGCTCAGTTTCTTCATTCAACTCGGCTGGTTGATGGTTGTAAGATGTTGTAAGCGCAATCACAAAGTCACAAAGTGACAAAAGCATGACGTAAGCGCAACAACACATTCAAGGACAACCCGTAAACGAAGTCTAAGAACTAGAACCATCTCACCCACCTAGAAACCTTGTGAGGTCAGGCCGCCGTTCATGGTGCAATCTACGCAATGAGTGCTATAGAGTAGAGAGGTCTGTCAGAATGTTTGAACGAGGTAAAGCACGTGATAAGTCAGTCCATTTCACGGACAAAAGTTGCAAATAAGCTACGTAGTTGCATGACTGTACAGCATAGTGCTTAGCTGCTAATTGATGCAATCTTCAAGACCCTTGAAATTCTTGAAGCTCTTCACAGCACATGGGGAATTCAACGTTCCAGACCCCAGTCTCAAAGATCTCAAAGCGACTGCACAGCCATGGACCAGGTCCCTGGATGCTTTGAGAGTTCACAAGGAACAAGCTTCTCCAGCTCTGCTCGTTTCTTCTCAGCAAAGCTCTTCAGAAGTGGAATCACCTCCTCAAACTTGCTGAGGTGCGCAGGTCTTTCCCATCTTTTTTTCTCCTTTTCCTTCTCAAAGGCCTTGACCGCAGCATCCAACGGTGTCCTCCCTTCAGAATCGTGGTGCCAAATGCTAGGGAGGACCCTCGGATCCTGCAGTAAAACTTGCACCAAATCAACCCGCCCAGCCACACTCATCCGATGCAAAGCTGTTTGATTCTTGGCGTCCGCTGCATTGACGTCCAGGTCACTGCGGGCCAGCAGCGTTGAAAGGATCTCCAGCTGTCTTGCGGCGATCTGCCTTCGTTTCACCGATTCCTTCTCACCGATCTCAATGGTCAAGGAGTCCCATCCACCGACCCACATCAAGGCCGTCGAGCCGTTCTCGTCTTGCCGCAGGTTGAGGTCCACCCCTTGGGCCAGAAGCCACTTGACCACTTCCACTGAGGCGGAATCTGTACGGCACACAGCATAGTGTAGCAATCCACATGCGTCATTGATATCCAAGTTGGGGTGCCCTAACAAAATCTTCAGCATGTCACAAGTGCCAACGCGAGCCGCAATTTTGATGGGTCGACCTGCATGAACGTCCAAATCTGGGTGCGCCAGCAGCACAGACACCAACTCCACATTCGTGCGGTTGTGAAGCACCATGTTGGACAAAATGGTGTAGCTGTTAACGTCCTTGATATTCACATCGATATTTGGATGTGCTACCAGAACTCTTGCAACTTCAGGACTTGTGGTGCGGCACAGCGGAACACTGGAGCACAACGTGAAGTGAATGTGATTGGGGTCCGCACCTCGATCAAGCAAGGAGCTGACCTTCGCAGCATCATTGGCATGGGCAGCAGCAGATAGTTCATCTCCCAAAACGACCTTGGGGTCCTTCAGGGTTACGGCATTACACACTCTACAGATCTCTACAGTAGCCACCCCTCGATCGAAAAAGCCTAGGCCCAGCAAAAAAATATCTGTTAAAACTTAAAATGTAGAGAGAGAGAGAGAGAGGGAGAGGGACCTCTCTCATCCCCCCTTTTCTCTCTCTCTCTCTCTCTCTCTCTCCCTGGCACTGACAATCGAGCCGGCTGACCTTGCGAGCGTGGATATTCTGGACCAACATGATGCAGGGGCAGAAAGCAGTGCCGCACAGTACGAACATCGTGGAAAAGAAAGGAGCCCACTGTACGAACCCCTGTCCTTGCGCGCCTCTGCGATTTGCATTGCACGAATGCGCGGGCCCATGCCAGCGCAGGAGCGTCTTTCGGACTCCGTGGGAAGCAACTTCATCGGCCAGTCAGGGTCACCAACACGACCAACAGCTCTGATGGCACTGAGCCCGCCGCGCCCACTCTCCAACCTTTCTGGCGCCAAGCTGGGGGCATAAGCTGAGCTTGCACTGAGCCAGCCGAGCCTGCCACTGAGCCCACTCTCCAGCCTGTCTGGTGTCGAGCTGCGGGCGGCAAGTGATCCGGACATGGCTCCTGATCCAAGGAGGATCTATCGATGACCCTGACTATGAGCCACAAGACCGATTTGTCTTCGCCAAAATCTGATCCCTCTCGCCTGCTGCCACTTTTGCTCATGGACCCGGCTTTCAGAACCAAGGCTCTGCTACCAATGAGTTCTGAGATGCTTTCAACTGCCCCTTGGCAGGCCTCAACGGAGAGTCGAACGCAACGAAGGAAATGACCTCTCTTTGTGTCAGGCTGCGACTTGAGTGTTACATGTATGCTTTCTATTGACCTACTCTCCTTTACCAGCGCTGGCACTGGCACCCAAAGCAAGACACAAAGAGCGAATCGAAGGTTTAAGGGAACGGATCCGGAGCCTCATACTGTGCAAACTGGTAACAAGTGCATCGCCATCAGATCTATCAGTGACTAAACGGTGTTCTTGTTTCTTTGTTTGGGTAACTCAGCACCCCGACGGCTGCAAGCTCTTTCACTGCATCAGCCTTGCCGATGGACGCCACATCCTGACAGAAGGGGTGCATCCGACCTGCTCAAACGTAGCATCCAAGAACAACTAGTGTGTGCGATTTAAATCTATCATTCACTACTTTGCCTGGGCGTGGCTAGTACCGTAACCAATGATTGGCCCCAGGAACATGACATCACGAGATTTCGTAATGCCCAGGACCCTAATCCATACCCGGCCGGAAAAGTGCTGCATGAGCAGCAACACGCTCGGACGGAACTTCTGCCTTCTGCATGCTCAACAAGGTAGCCAAGGGCAACCTTGGCTCAAGAAAATGTGCGAGTGCGAGGAGATGTGCACCACAAGTGTGTCTCTGCAACGGAGAAGACCAAGGCAATCAAGCAAAGGGATCAACAACCTCTGTAGGTTCAATACGTTCCGGCATTCTAATGTGAAGGCCGGATTGAGAACTCACCCCAAGTTCATTGAACCCAGCAATTCGGCCAATAATTCGGCCAACAATACACTTGATTAGGTGAACACACTTCCAAACAGTTCTCACTGAGCCAGGGCACGCCGCTTCGCGCCGCCGTTCTTTCTTGCTGAAGACGGTGTCGCCCAACAAGACTGGCCTTGGAAAAGGAAGAGTCTTGATTTAGCCATGGGGAGCATC